CACTATTCCTTGTCAGGTCATGTTGACACAACTATAGTCCCTCTTCATATGTGTGACGTATAGCACACCAGAAGTTACGGCACACACGTCCCATCCAGTGTACATTCCCAAGCTCTACACCCTGAACCTCCCCATCACTACACCCTGAACCTCCCCATCACTACACCCTGAACCTTCCCATCACTACACCCTGAACCTCCCCATCACTACACCCTGAACCTTCCCATCACTACACCCTGAACCTCCCCATCACTACACCCTGAACCTTCCCATCACTACACCCTGAACCTCCCCATCACTACACCCTGAACCTCCCCACCACTACACCCCGCACCTCCCCACCACTACACCCTGTACCTCCCCATCACTACACCCCGCACCTCCCCACCACTACACCCTGCACCTCCCCATCACAACACCCTGTACCTCCCCATCACTACACCCCGCACCTCCCCATCACTACACCCTGTACCTCCCCATCACTACACCCTGCACCTCCCCATCACTACACCCTGTACCTCCCCATCACTACACCCTGCACCTCCCCATCACTACACCCTGTACCTCCCCATCACTACACCCCGCACCTCCCCATCACTACAACCCTGCACCTCCCCATCATTACACCCTGAACCTCCCCACCACTACAACCCTGCACCTCCCCATCATTACACCCTGAACCTCCCCACCACTACACCCCGCACCTCCCCACCATTACACCCTGTACCTCCCCATCACTACACCCTGAACCTCCCCATCACTACACCCTGTACCTCCCCATCACTACACCCTGAACCTCCCCATCACTACACCCTGAACCTCCCCATCACTACACCCTGCACCTCCCCATCACTACACCCTGCATCTCCCTATCTCTACACCCCGCACCTCCCCATCACTACACCCTGAACCTCTCAATCACTACACCCTGCATCTCCTCATCTCTACACCCTGCACCTCCCCATCACTACACCCTGCACCTCCCAATCTCTACACCCAACACCTCCCCATCACTGCACCCTGCACCTCCCCATCACTACACCCTGAACCTCCCCATCACTACACCCTGAACCTCCCCATCTCTACATCCCGCACCTCCCCATCACTACACCCTGCACCTCCCCATCACTACACCCTGAACCTCTCAATCACTACACCCTGCATCTCCTCATCTCTACACCCTGCACCTCCCCATCACTACACCCTGAACCTCCCCATCACTACACCCTGAACCTCCCCATCTCTACATCCCGCACCTCCCCATCACTACACCCTGCACCTCCCCATCACTACACCCTGAACCTCTCAATCACTACACCCTGCATCTCCTCATCTCTACACCCTGCACCTCCCCATCACTACACCCTGCACCTCCCCATCACTACACCCTGAACCTCCCCACCACTACACCCTGCACCTCCCCATCACTACACCCTGCACCTCCCCATCACTACACCCTGAACCTCTCAATCACTACACCCTGCATCTCCTCATCTCTACACCCAACACCTCCCCATCACTGCACCCTGCACCTCCCCATCACTACACCCTGCACCTCCCCATCACTACACCCTGAACCTCCCCACCACTACACCCTGCACCTCCCCATCACAACACCCTGCACCTCCCCATCACTACACCCTGCACCTCCCCATCACTACACCCTGAACCTCTCAATCACTACACCCTGCATCTCCTCATCTCTACACCCTGCACCTCCCCATCACTACACCCTGCACCTCCCAATCTCTACACCCAACACCTCCCCATCACTGCACCCTGCACCTCCCCATCACTACACCCTGCACCTCCCCATCACTACACCCTGAACCTCCCCATCACTACACCCTGTACCTCCCCATCACTACACCCCGCACCTCCCCATCACTACACCCTGCACCTCCCCATCACTACACCCTGTACCTCCACACCACTACACCCTGCACCTCCCCACCACTACACCCTGCACCTCATCACTACACCCTGCACCTCCCTATCACTACACCCTGCACCTCCCCACCACTACACCCTGTACCTCCCAACCACTACACCCTGCACCTCCCCATCACTACACCCCGCACCTCCCCATCACTACACCCCGCACCTCCCCATCACTACACCCTGCACCTCCCCATCATTTCACCCCGCACCTCCCCATCACTTCACCCCGCACCTCCCCATCACTACACCCCGCACCTCCCCACCACTACACCCCGCGACTCCCCATCACTACACTCTGCACCTCCCAACCACTACACCCTGCACCTCCCTATCTCTACACCCCGCACCTCCCCATCACTACACCCCGCACCTCCCCATCACTACACCCCGCACCTCCCCACCACTACACTCTGCACCTCCCTATCTCTACACCTCCCTATCTCTACACCCCGCACCTCCCTATCACTACACCCCGCACCTCCCTATCACTACACCCCACACCTCCCCATCACTACACCCCGCACCTCCCTATCTCTACACCCCGCACCTCCCCATCACTACACCCCGCACCTCCCCATCACTACACCCCGCACCTCCCCACCACTACACCCCGCGACTCCCCATCACTACACCCGGAACCTCCCCATCACTACACCCCGCACCTCCCCATCACTACACCCTGCACCTCCCCATCACTACACCCTGAACCTCCCCACCACTACACTCTGCACCTCCCAACCACTACACCCTGCACCTCCCTATCTCTACACCCCGCACCTCCCCATCACTACACCCCGCACCTCCCCATCACTACACCCCGCACCTCCCCACCACTACACTCTGCACCTCCCTATCTCTACACCTCCCTATCTCTACACCCCGCACCTCCCTATCACTACACCCCGCACCTCCCTATCACTACACCCCACACCTCCCCATCACTACACCCTGCACCTCCCCATCACTGCACACTGAACCTCCCCATCACTAGACCCTGAACCTCCCCACCACTACACCCTGCACCTCCCCACCACTACACCCTGCACCTCCCCATCACAACACCCTGCACCTCCACACCACTACACCCTGCACCTCCCCATCACTACACCCTGAACCTCCCCATCACTACACCCTGCACCTCCCCATCACTACACCACGCACCTCCCCACCACTACACCCTGAACCTCCCCACCACTACACCCTGAACCTCCCCATCACTACACCCTGCACCTCTCCATCTCTACATCCCGCACCTCTCCATCACAACACTCACACCTCTCCATCTCTACACCCCGCACCTCCCCATCTTAAAACTCACACCTCTCCATCTCTACATCCCGCACCTCTCCATCACAACACTCACACCTCTTCATCTCTACACCCCGCACCTCCCCATCTTAACACTCACACCTCTCCATCTCTACCCCCTGCACCTCCCCATCACAACACTCACACCTCTCCATCTCTACACCCTCATCCCCCACATCTCAGTACGCCGCTCTTCCCCATCTTTTAACCCGCAACTCCCCATCTTTGCATCTTCTTCATCACTCCACCCGCGAGGTAAATGTGACACATGTAATACAGGGCCATTGACACTGTGCTGACAAGTGTTCAGGGATGACTTGCGTACGTAATTTGTGTAGACTCTTTATGTTTGTATAGGCATGTCTGTGACGTGGGTCCTACAGCTGAATCAAGCGATAGCATGTCAACCAAACGTACACGAGCTAAGGTCATGCACTTTATGAAAACATCTACTTGTTAAACATAAACATATGATATAATTCGATAAATCGATCTGGTGTGTAAATCTTCCTTATTTGTACAGGGAGAGCGGATTTGATGCCTGTATCATAAATGTTCAATCATAAGCATACTACAGTAAAGTACGGTTATAACGAACTCAAAGGGACTACTAATTTTAGTTCGTTATAACCGTAGTTCGTTATAAGCATATATACAGCATAACTACTGCAAATAGTCGGGACCAAAAAAGTAAGTTCGTTATATCCGTCAGTTCGTTATAACCGTGTTCGTTATAACCGTAGTTTACTGTAATATTCAAAATAAAATCATTTCTCAAAATATTGATAAACTGATATGGCCGTATAACAACAGACACACGTCGTGCACTACACAAATACAGGACGACGTCAGATGATATTCATTAACAGGAAGGAAGGAAACTGGTTTCCAACTAACAAGTAACTCGCAGCTCACAATTTGATAATCAAACGATATGCGAAATCATACCATGTAATTCATAACAGATGAAACGCAATGAGCAATTCTTACAATTTGGATGGTATTGTAGTACATCGTTACGGTAAGTTTATCCTCAACCCATGAATTATCGCATACATTACGTTTTCACAAGCAGATTTGGAGAGTTAGGACTATATAAACGAGGAGTATAACTTAACTAGTTGACTAACACGATCTTGTAACCAAAACATAAAAGGAAGACTCGAAGTTTTGTTTATTTCTTTAAGTACTGTTGTAGGAAACAAACACAGAGTATATTGACACACGTTACAAAGAGCTTAAAAATGGTATTAAAACACAGGCCTAGATGAAACACAAATCAGGTCCGTTGAAAACTAAAATGACACGACCAGTTTCCTTCAGTTTCTTCATCATGTTTCTTCCACGTGGTAGGAGGGCACGGGTGGTACGGGTGGCCCAGTCGTCTAAGGCGCCGCGATGCGCTATGCAGACTTGCGTCCCTTGGGCACGCCAGAAACTTATGATAGTGGGTTCGAATCCCGGTTCGCCCCGATTATGTTTCTAGGTTTGTCAGCACCATACCCATGCTCGTGGGTTTCACCGAAGCGGTAAACGTCTAGGACCTGCATCACTTGGGGCTTTCCTCCAACATTAAGCTGACACGCCGTGATATAACTGGAATACTGTTAAAAAACGGCGATAAACACAACTCACTCACTCTTCGTGGTAGATGCGTCATTTGACAAGAATGATGTCCGATGAAATGCCCCTTTTGTTGACTTGTGCCATATGTTCCAGCGTTTTTCAGGTGAACAATTGACTTGCCTCTGCATGTGTTTGTGACGGGTGACACTTGATACGCTCACTGTTTCGCGAACACATGGTATCATCACTATTTGATAGCGATTCATAAACACATTCTCATGATGTAGTCGGAATCGTACAAGCGACTCTGCATTTTGCAGAGATTTTTTATGAATACGGAAAGGGTTTGTAGCTTTTATTTACATGGAATGTTATAGACGCCAGTTGTTGCTAGAGGAACACCACTACGGTGCCCGTGTTATAGACGCCAGTTGTTGCTAGAGGAACACCACTACGGTGCCCGTGTTATTGACGCCAGTTGTTGCTAGAGGAAGACCACTACGGTGCCCGTGTTATAGACGCCAGTTGTTGCTAGAGGAACACCACTACGGTGCCCGTGTTATAGACGCCAGTTGTTGCTAGAGGAACACCACTACGGTGCCCGTGTTATAGACGCCAGTTGTTGCTAGAGGAAGACCACTACGGTGCCCGTGTTATAGACGCCAGTTGTTGCTAGAGGAACACCACTACGGTGCCCGTGTTATAGACGCCAGTTGTTGCTAGAGGAAGACCACTACGGTGCCCGTGTTATAGACGCCAGTTGTTGCTAGAGGAACACCACTACGGTGCCCGTGTTATAAACGCCAGTTGTTGCTAGAGGAACACCACTACGGTGCCCGTGTTATAGACGCCAGTTGTTGCTAGAGGAACACCACTACGGTGCCCGTGTTATAGACGCCAGTTGTTGCTAGAGGAACACCACTACGGTGCCCGTGTTATAGACGCCAGTTGTTGCTAGAGGAACACCACTACGGTGCCCGTGCTATAGACGCCAGTTGTTGCTAGAGGAACACCACTACGGTGCCCGTGTTATAGACGCCAGTTGTTGCTAGAGGAAGACCACTACGGTGCCCGTGTTATAGACGCCAGTTGTTGCTAGAGGAACACCACTACCCTACCCATGTCGTTGTCATGGACTTCACTGTATGTTTCATCCGTTTGTCGAAATGTATCAGGTGAAGAGCTCCATCGGTCTGCTACACGATGATATTCAAGCTCAACCTCCTCCTGTTGAGCCTCTCTATAAAAGATACGTTTGTCGTCAGCCCTGGTATGAACAACCATGTCTGTGTGCATAACATACTACATTTCTGAGTTTCTTTTTTATAATTCCAAATAGGAGTTTTTATATAGGTTCCACAATTCTAACATGGTCCTGATGGACCAGTTTAAATCATATTTTGGTGGTAACAGCATATATTGCTGTAAATCAGTCTTGATTCTCAACGGCGTATACAAAATGAAGCAAAATATAACATACTCACCGTTTTGTATGCCACATTTTCAGGACCTGCGCGACAACTGTTGTGCACGCGCAGAATACACAGACCAGTGATAACGTCACCACTGCAAGGTTTAAATATGTGGAGTATCTTCCCTCGTCATGGGGACCTGAAACAGATACTCATAGAAAACACTAGTTGTCATGACAGCGGGATACAGTATGATCTCATTATACACAATTATTACATAGAGGCACACACAGTAGTTAAGTCGTTGATCGGCTGTTGTCATATGGGCTAATGTAAGAATTTAAAGGTTTGAGAAGATTTTGGATTGAATTTTTGCAACCATCAAGATACATCACTGATGAAGAAAAATGATGTTGCTAATTTTTCACGAACTGTTTTGCGTCAACACTAAGCAGCCACTTTTGTGGCAGAATGTAAGGGTTGTGTGCACTATTGGTTTGCTGCTCTGCTCTCCTTTGAATCTATCAGCTTTACTGAAATATACTGTTTGAAGCGGAATTCTAAAAGGTATAAAAAGCATTCAAACCAACTAATTTGGTTGCTCCATTTCCATCGTTCAAAAGTGCGAGTGTAAATACGAACATGTTAAAATATTTTGAAAATTTTAAATGACATATTTATGTTGGTCGTTATGGAATCTTTATGTCTTTTTCATGTTCTTTCTGCTGTTCTGGTGTCCCCCGCCGTGATATTGCTGGAATAGTGCTAAAAGCGGCGTAAAACCATACTCACTCACTCTTTCTGCTGGTTCAAGAAACCGTTCTATGGCTCAGAGCCTTAAGCATAGACATATTTTACAAATATGATGTCCATGGTTGCAAATCGTTGCACGTATTCTTGTCTTACATGTTCCTGTTACTGTGTTGCATGGAGAGCATCCACTTGAACAGTTCTTACAGCCAGTCCCGTAGTAGGAGTCCTCACATCCAGACACACAGGAGGAGCCCAGCTGACAATATCCTCCATCACAACCACCTGGACATGCTGTACAGTTACCTCCTGGACTGTCACATGGTATGTTGCAGCTGGTGCCTTGATATCCTGGGACACATCCGTTGGTGCAATTACCACTGCCACTGATTGAAATGACGCACGTATTATTTTTACAGTTCTCGTTGCACACAGACGAGCATTTCTGATCGTAGTATCCAGGGTCACACTCTATGATGCAGTGTCCTGATATGCTGTCACAGTCTGAACAGTGTTGGTTATCCTTGCACTGGGTTGCTGAAATATCGATACAATTTGCTGTTACATGGCATAGATATGTCATTTAATAGACCGCCTCCGTGGTCTAGTGGTAGAGCCTCCGCCCGGAGAGCGGAAGGTCAGGGGTTCGATCCCCGACCGCGTCATACCAAAAGACGTTAAAAAATGGTACTTGTTGTGACCCTGTCTGGCGCTCGGCATTAAGGGTTAAAGCAAGGACTGGTCGGCTAGGAGTCAGTATATTGTATCTGAGTGGGGTATTCATGTTAAACTGCGGCATGGTATCTCAGTGTGCTAGCACTATAAATCGGCATCAGTCCGGTCTAGTACAAGCAGCCACACACACGTGCATGCACGTCGCGATATAAGTGCAATAATCTTGGACGCGACGTTAAACCCAATTTCATCTCACCCATTTAATAATACTGCAGTAAATATTGCTAATGTAAAGATATCATATATTTAAAGGAAGCTGCGCTGACTGTAAGTCCCGAACTAGAAATCTCACATGATGAAGTAAGCTTACACTAGCCTACATTAAAAAACCTGCCGTACCAGCGACCACTAAATCATCACTAATCAAGGTGAATCTACTTCATCATCAATTAACATTTGTTTTTTGTTTGTTTGTTGTGTAACGCCGCACTCACCAATATTCAAGCTATATGACGGCGGTCTGTAAATCGAGTCTGGACCAGACAATCCAGTGATTGACAAAACAGGAGCATCGATCCCCGCAATTGGGATACGATGACATGCATCAACCAAGTCAGAGAGCCTGACCACCCAAAACCGTTAGTCACATCTTACGACAAACATAGTCGCCTTTTACGGCAAGCATGGGTTGCTGAAGACCCGTTCTACTCCGGATCTTCACGGGTCTCATCGATTAACAATTTCCAGCGCAAATGAAGAAAACAATTCCGCAAAGTCGGAACCTTTTAAATAATTATCTACAGTTTCTCACGCTCGGATTGGTGCGTATTACGTGACAATCACGCATGCATCCCTGTGAGCCCGAAATTAATTTTCAAAGCACAAAAAAAATGTCACGTAAATCCATATGAAGTACAAAACATGTGACAAAACAACATCTGTACCTTTAACCCCAGGTCCTGGAGAAGAAACGGTCAAACAGCTAAAGCAGAACATCGCCCATAACAAATCCATAGTGTTCTGAGAAATAGAATTACTTCGAATTACAAGTTAGGAAGGGCCACTGGTAGGTGGGAGTCTAACACAATAGCTTTTAACAAATACGTCGTACAAAACAATGATGACACTGACTGATGTAAAACCCACACAATAAATACTTCCGCATAATTGACGCCAGAAGCATGAACTATACATTTCGAATGTATTATTTATACATTTGAAACTACAAATGTGGTTTCAGGAGTTATAAGGCTTTGAGTTGTGAGTTGGGTTTAACGCCGCTTTTAACAGTATTCCAGTTATATCGCGGCGTGTCAGCTTAATGTGGGAGGAAAGCCCGAAGTGACGCAGGTCTCAGACGTTTACCACTTCGGTGAAACCCACGAGCACGGGTATGGTGCTGACAAACCTAGAAACATAATCGGGGCGAACCGGGATTCGAACCCACAATCATAGGTTTCTGGCATGCCCAAGGGACGCAACTCTGCACAGCGAATCGCGGGGCCTTAGACGACTGGGCCACCCGTGCCCCCTTTAAGGCTTTGACAATAAATAACGATATAAATGTGTTATATATGTTTTGCTTCACATTATTTAACACAAAACACGAGTTGACAACAGAGAAAACATGTGCATACTTGCTGTTGTTAAGACGCCGTCAAATACAACCGAACAAATACACTGACACTCTCATAACCTTTATGAAACTAAACACTCGAAATATTAATGACGAACATAACTGGATTTCTGATATGAGGAAGATGAAATTGCATAAACAATAGAGCTATATAAGGACATGGCTTCTTGCTGGTTGACAAACGCATAAATGAATAGCTTCGAAAGGTGACGTCTTCCGGGTCCCGTGTGATTACACCGGCATCACAAAAATACAGACAAACAGCTTCCGGTCTACAACGAGGCAATATCTCTAGTCAGAGGTCAAAATTACCTAGTACTCTTGGTTAATATACTCAACAACAAAAGTTCCTGTGACACCAATGTTTAAGTGTATTTATTAAACAAGTAAAGTTTGGTTTTCAATAGTAGTACATGTATGGAATCAAGTCACAAAAACGCAACTGCAACAGAACAGCATGCATCCCACGCAAAAGTTGACTTTAATGCAAGAACCATGCATTTCACGACCCAAGAATGGGTATAAAAACATGTGCGTTAACGGGATTCCATAAGTCTTGTTTAGCATCGTGCTGACAACAACCACTCAGAAAAACAACACAATTACGCAATTATTCAACATTACGCAATGCCACGCCTTTCCGAAAATGAGCAGACACATCATTTGGTGTTTATGGCGACGTTGGCAACAGACGAATGCAGTCAGAGACCATCCTCGGAGTGGCAGGCCACGCGTTACCAATAATCGACAAGACAACTGGATTCGAACAACACACCTACGAACTCGACTCCAGCCAGCAACAGTGGCTGCAAGAAGCATCCCTGGCCTTCGACGAATATCTTCACAAACCGTACGTCGTCGCCTCAGATGGGCAGGGATTGTCGTCAGAAGACCCACCAGACGTCCCATTTTGACAGGAAACCGCCGTCAAGCACGTCTACAGTGGTGCAGACAGCGTCTACGCTGGACGGCCATGCAATGGGGACAAGTTCTATTCACTGACGAGTCTCGTTTTCACCTCACCCACAGCGATGGAAGGATTCGAGTGTACCGACGTCGAGGTGAACGTTACGTCAATCATTGTGTCATGGAAGAAGATCGGTTCGGGGGCGGCAGCGTTATGGTATGGGGTGGGATTACAGCAAGACAGAGGACCCGTTTGATAGTGTTAGAGGAAAATCTCAATGGACAGCGCTACCGCGACGAGATCATCGGCCCTGTCGTTCTACCGTTTTTACCTCCCCACGGCCCAGGCATTACCTTTCAACATGACAACGCCCGGACTCATGTTGCTTGACTAGCTCAGGATACTCTTAAAAAAAACAACGTGAATGTCATCCCCTGGCCGGCTCGCTCCCCTAAACTCTCACCAATCGAGCACATGTGGGATGAGATGGATCGGCGCTTTCGGACAGATATCCCACAAGAATTTGTGCGGCGCCTGGTCCATTCCATGAGACGAAGATGTGTTGCTTGCATCGCAACCAGAGGTGGACACACACGCTATTGATTTGTAAGGTGACATTTTGGCATGTTCATGTTTTTTTTTTTATGAAATCACGCATTTTCTGAAGTCAGTATGGCAAATTAAACCATTTGAACACCTACAGGAGTCTTATAGCAGTTGCAAACCGAAATTGTTTCAGATTTGGTAAAAAAAACATAACTTTGCATTTAATCTTATTCAATGTCACAGGAACTTTTGTTGTTCAGTATATAGTGCGTATGTATGTATGTATATATATATGTGTGTGTGTGTGGGGGGGGGGGGGGGGGGGGGGGGGGTAGGCAGGTAGGCAGGCAGGTAGGTAGGAGTTCTGAGCTTCATTTCCATTCTATCCTGCACGTTGTTGTTTTTCCTTGTGTTTTTCTTATTTATTCATCATTTTTGGTTGTGTCGAACCCCGGAAAACTTGAAATATTTACGCAGGTCCCTTCAACTTCGACACAACAGTGTTTGCCTATACCTGTAATTTTGCATGTCTAGATCGTGTTACTACCAACATAAGATTTATCTTGGGTGAATGAAGTGACCACTCGACAGGGAGATGTACACACATAATTTCCCATTTCAAACAGTTTTAGACTAAGATATCATTATTTTATCGCCAACTGTTCATACAGACGTTATAAACATATTTTGTTGTAACTAATAAAAAACGATATGTTAAATCTGAATTACACCTGCTGTGTACTGTGTACAAGTGGAGACATTCTGCTGCTTGTAAGTAAAGAAACATAATAAAAAAATCTACTCCTCTCCTTTTGCAACACAGTTGGGGGGGGGGGGGGGGGGGGGCAGTTTTATTGTCTCTCAGTTTGTAATAACCCCTTCTTACCTCTAACATTCTTGCGTTGTACGAGACAGGCAACCTCAACGAAGACGAATAGGATGCCCACCAATTAGCCTTGTTTCAAGGCTGAACTGAATGGTAAGTCCATGGGTGAATAATAATTATTTCCTTAAATAGTCAAGTCTAGATCAGCAGACAGTCTGTTATAGGGACAATTTGTTTTTATTAGTTTTAGAACCTAGAAATTATAATTTAAACTATTAGTTTTTACCTTCGAGATTTGTTCAAGTGGCGATGGAAGAAAACGTGACCTCAGTATTTTTTTAAATGGAGTCTGAAGTGTATATGAGAAACAATGTTGACACTTTAATGACATACATCTGCATGTGTGTCAAATGTATTTATTTGAGTAATTTAGATTGTTTGTTTGTTGTTTAACGCCGCACTCACCAATATTCCAGCTATATGACGGCGGTCTGTAAATAATCGAGTCTGGACCAGACAATCTAGTGATTGACATCATGAGCATCGATCTACGCAATTGGGACCTGATGACATGCATCAACCAAGTCAGCAAGCCTGACCACCCGATCCCGTTAGTCGCCTATTACGACAAGCAAAGTCGCCTCTTACGGCAAACATGGGTTGCTGAAGACCTGTTCTGTACCAATTCTTCACGGAGTGAGTGATTATGAACGCATTGAATGTAAGGGGACACAGGCATTAACTCATAACACATACAGTAAACTACGGTTATAACGAACACGCTTATAACGAACTGACGGATATAACGAACTAACTTTTTAGTCCCGACTATTTGCTGTAGTTATGCAGTATATATGCTTATGACGAACTACGGTTATAACGAACTAAAAATAATAGTCCCTTTGAGTTCGTTATAACCGTAGTTTACTGTACTTCAAATAAAAACATATTTGTATCAGCTTATCTATGTCGCTTAAATCGTAACGAGAAATAAGCCGTACATTTTTAAAATATTCTGATAGTAATATATCGAGCAGATGGTTGTGGAACTATATTCACCTCTAACTCGTTAGTGTCATTGCCTCTTTCGTCCGAGTCATCTGGTCAATACTAACGTTGTTTGTGCTCACTTGATCTTCGATCTGTAAAGTAACAATGTGTTTGTGGTCACGTATTGTTGTAACACGTTTGATTTCCTTCCCACCGGGAAGCCGATTGTCTGCCGCAACACTCAGACCTCGCTATCTCTCTTGTCCCTTCCTCCGGCGTTAACTTATCTCGAAACATGTAGTGTATTTTCGATGGTGAGGTGAGGTGAGGTGAGGTGAGATTGGGTTTAACGTTGCGTCCAAGATAATTGCACTTATATAGCGACGTGTGTGTGTGTGTGTGTGTGTGTGTGTGTGCGTGTGTGTGTGCGTGTGCGTGTGCGTGTGTGTGTGTGTGTGTGTGTTTGTGTGTGTGTGTGTGTGTGTGTGTGTGTGTGTGTGTGTGGCTGCTTGTACTAGTCCGGACTGATGCCGATTTATAGTGCTAGCTCACTGAGATACCATGCCGCAGTTTAACATGAATACCCCACTCAGACACAGTATCCTGACTCCGAGCCGACCAGTCCTTGTTTTAGCCCCTTAATGTCGAGCGCCAGACAGGGTAACAACAAGTACCATCTTTTTGGTCTGACGCGGCCGGGGATCGAACCCCGGACCTTCCGCTCTCCGGGCGGACTATTTTCGATGGTAGAATAACCATATGGTATTGCTCAGTCTGCAATTTGCTACTCACCTCTTCGCGAAAACCAGGTATCATGAAGCATGGCCGCTTTTAACGGCAAGCATAGGTTGCTGAAGACCTATTCGAACCAGGATCCTTCACGGGTCTCATCACTGTTTGGTTGTGGTTCATGAAAGCATGAAAGTATGGTTAGTGTACAATCGTACAGTGGAATGCCCGCTGGTTCATCTCCCTGTGGTGTTTGTTTCATTGTATGATAATCAACTGACCGTCGTCGTCTACCTGCGGTGTACCTGTAGAGTTTGTTGCTCTCCAAGCTGGAGTGAGTGAGTGAGTGAGTGAGTTGGGTTTAACGCCGCTTTTAACAGTATTCCAGTTATATCACGGCGTGTCAGCTTGATGTGGGATGAAAGCCCGAAGTGATGCAGGTCTTAGACGTTTACCACTTCGGTGAAACCCACGAGCACGGGTATGGTGCTGACAAACCTAGAAACATAGTTGGGCGAACCGGGATTCGAACCCACAATCATAGGTTTCTGGCGTGCCCAAGGGACGCAAGTCTGCACAGCGAATCGCGGCGCCTTAGACGACTGGGCCACCCGTTCCCCCACTCCAAGCTGGAAACATCTGTGACGTGCAATACGTTCATGAAGAGTGTTACGCTTTCTGACCAATTCCATGGCGGGCGTGTACAATGTCTGTCAAGTGCTTAAACTATGATTAGATAATCAGGCGCAATTAGCATGCCCTTGAGCGACCAATGTAAAGTTTTGACTCATTTAAATTTGGAACTACGCTCATCTGGCGAATTACTTCGAGGTATATGCAGCATGTGTCACCAGTCACACTCATTAAAATCAGTGTCTATATGCCACCCACAGAATTCACCGTCAGCTGGGATTCTTTTGACAATGAAGTACATGCAGACATATCCACTTTGGAGAATCAAGGCACATCTATTGAAGATGTACGGACTATACACGACATGTAAGCATACGTGAAAATGTGTGTTTGTTTTCTCGATAAAAAATTGTTCTATCATGGCGTCATTTCCGGAGATTCGAACATGCGCTCGCAACTTGATGACGTCGTATATAGGATGA